CTGTACGTAACTTTCCAGAACTCTCTTCTTCCCCAAGCCCTCCATAGATATTTGAAAGCTTAGTGTAGCCCCCTGCCCTGTTTATTTTGCTTTCTTTCCCACCTTCAGTTTGGAAGGATCCCCAAGTTCTTGATTTGTTCTTGTTAGATCCTGTGTGGTTGGTATATGTTTCTCCCCAGCAGGTAAGTCTGAATGGTTAGTTGCTTGTTAAAGTAACTTGGGCTTTGGCCATCTTAACTTCCAACATCCCCGGCAGGATATATGCAATCTCTGTGTAATGACTTGTCTACTGTGGGCATGCCAAGCTGGATCAGGGCCAGGTGAATCTGAGGCAGTGCAAGTTCTGGTCATGTCTGGTGTCAGTGGGGCTTGTTCTGTGTATTGAATTGCTGCTCTGAAAGTATCAGTATCCTTTGATACTGCCAAAACTCAAAAATGAGTAGAAACTCTGTCTGCTGACAGAGAAGTAATGATAATTAGAATATTGCTGCATGGCACAGGCTTTTCCCTTAGTCAAAGTCCTATAGCAGAAAAGGAGAATTTTCAATGTATATATGATACAGTATTTTATTTGTATTATTTAAGTAAAAAAGCAATGGAAAAAACAAAACAAAAAAATGGGCAAAGGAATAGAATACATAAACATAAATATCTACACAGCAGTGTAATCCCTAACTCATCTATGATGTTATTTATCTTTTTTAAAATTAATGATGTTATTGCTGTGTTTTTTTTCTCTCTGACCCTTGGGTGATCCTGGTGTTCCTGCCTGTTGGGTGATCCTGGTGTTCCTGCCTGTATCTTTTTTAAAATTAATGATGTTATTGCTGTGGTATAAGCTTTACACTGAGGTGAGGATTGAAGTGAAAATTCAAAAGATGAGATTTGACGTAGTGATTAGAAAAAAAAATTAAATAAAAATTTTAAAAGAGGAAAGAGGAAAAAATATGTGTCTCTAAGGAAAAAAAATTGAAACTGCCCCCTCTCTTTTGTTCTTTTGTTCTCCTTTTGTTCTTTTTTTTTCTCTCTGACCCCTAAATGCTACTTGAATATTTGTATACTATGCTTTAAACTTCTGTATTATTGCTCATTTCTGTCTAACCTAAAAGGAAACTGTTGATTTATACAATGATTCATTATATAGTCAACTTGGCTTCCAGGCATTCCCCCCATTTCATTTTAATATCAGGCAGGAACACCAGGATCACCCAACATCTGGTTGGCAGGAGCAATTGTTTCTAGTGACATCAGCTGGGCTTGACTGCTATGTTGCCAAAGATTTGGATTCAAATTCTGAATTTGTAAACAGTATGCTCTTCATCAAAAAGCAATCTAGGATGGTGGGTGAGAGAATTTATTTAAGAAGCATTGGCAGATGCACTTGGCTCCTTCTAAACCTTCTAATCATACATACAATCATGTAATAGTAACTCTTAATTCTGCTGTCATGATATTTATCTTTAAAGTATCCAGCAAGTATGCAAGAAAACATTGTTCTCACTTGCCTCTGAAAGGGGAAATCTAGATATCCACAGTCATTGACAAGCACAAGAATAACATCTTACAACATCTTCTCCTGTACTAGGAGGGATTTTTGTTGTAACTGTCACTCTACAGAGCCATCTTTCTGTACAAACCACAATGGAAAGTAAGTTTATAGAAAATGCCATGATCTTGAAGACGAGTATGAATTTGGCAAGATAGATCTTGGGAGCAAGATTCAGCAAAAAATTATTACCTAGCTTGTAGATATTTACTATGGCTCTGCAAATCCTTCAAAAGATTGCTTCGGAACACGTGAGAACATGTATGAAGTACCTTTTTTGAAATCATTAAAGAAGCTCAGGCTTTTTTTAAGCCTACGCAATTGCTTTGAAAGCGTCTCCCAGCTGCCTCTGCACACATGTATGTGCAGCCACTTCAAGTTACTGAGAAAAATGTGAAGCTGAGAAATGCAAAGGCAAATGGCTCTGTATTACTATTTCAATAGCATCTGCATGAGGCTTAAGGAGAGTACAGTAACAAAAAATTGGCAGATTGGATGAAGAACTGAAGGATGTAGGCTATATTCAACCTGCAGGCAATGGTTCCAAACTGCCGTTACTGTATTGTGCAGTATGGGCTGTCACTAGATAATTCAGAGGAAAGATCTTCATCCAAGTTATACTTCCAACAACCCCTAGAAACAAAAATTAAGGCTAATGAAGAGGTGCTGATGATTTTAGGGAAGATGTAATCAGTTCTTTGGAAACAAAGTTATTATGTAAGATTCACTTGGCAGCAGTAAAGGCTGTGAAGACTGCTCTGTCTGGGAATTTCTGGGGGTTTAGTAATTTATTAGTGGCAGCATGAGGCTGGGTATCTTTTAGCTAAACTTATTAGAAATGTTCAGACTAAATGATCTTGCAGATCATACCTCCTTAATAAATAGAATATATTCTTACGCGTATTGAGGCATTTTTAAAAATATAGACTTCTTCTTCATGGAATTTATTCATTTTCATAGGTTTGTCTCCAGTATACTTTTTTAAGTAGGGTTGCCTCTTGTTTCTAATTAACAATCCCTAATTACCACTTTATATGTCATCTGTAGATTCATTTCAAACTCCACACGTATAGCTAAAACATATTTTACCCCAACTGTATGTGTGTGAGGGCAAGAAATTCCAAACCATTTTCTTTTCCAGTATGATCCTCTCTGATCTGCTTGGCATCTCTTTAGTAAGGGATGGGAAGTGAAAATTGGGAGCATTTATGTAAAAAGAAAGAGAAAGAGGGGGAGAGGGAGAGGGAGAAGGGAGAGGGAGGGAGGGAGGGAGGGAGGAAGGGCTGAATTTTATTATTTTTCTCATTTACCTCCAAATGGTTTCAGTTTTAAAAAATTGTACTTTGGCATGAGATGCATCTCTAATGTGGTCCTGTGGCAATTGAATTGCACAACTAAATATGAGATGGCTAGGAAGGCTCCTGCATTTTGGGATTACATTCTAGTCTCCTGTACTGTAATATTATTGCTGTAATGAATGTACTGTATATAGCAATGTCAGTTCAATGTATTAACTGAAATCCCCAAATTAACTGCTCAGCATGTTTTGTTTTGGTCATTTTCAGATTGATAGAAGTACAGGACACAAGCCTACAGGGTAATTGCTGAAAGTTTGTGGCAACATCTGAACCAATTGTGAAACTATAGAAATAACAAGACCCAAGATGTACTGTAGGAAAGCTGGGTGAGGGGCAAGGACACTGTGTTTGTTTTAATTTTGCTCAGGTCCTGCATTCTTAACTTGCTCTGAAAATTTAAACATTGTTTTGCTCTCCTTTCAGAAGGACTGCAAGTTCTTTGATAAATAGATTGGAATTGGTTTCGTAGTAACCTATGAACAATGTGTTCACCATTAAAGTTAATGGGTAATGTGGAAGCACTTAAAACTCCTGCACAAACCACAGCAATGCCTCTTTTAATAACTATCTTCACCATTAAAGTTAATGGGTAATGTGGAAGCACTTAAAACTCCTGCACAAACCACAGCAATGCCTCTTTTAATAATATCCACTTGTTTTTTGATGTCTCTCTCTCCTTTTCCTCCCTCTACCCTTAGAACTAACAAATCCCTATAAG